TGTTACGTTTACCGATAATGATTCTTATTGTTATTTATTTATTAATTTACAATGCGATAAGTCTGATAGGCTTAAGTTTAACACAAATTTATAAGTTACTATAGCTATAAATAATTAGTTCATCAAAATTGCCAAAAGTCTTCATACATATGGATCGAATATATATAGATCATTAATCATAAATACATTATTGTACGCATAAAACATTTATTAAGGAAAGTCTGACGTCTTAAACATTAATCAAGTTAGTATAGTAAAATACTTTACATCAGATGCCTCATTAATTCGTGTTCATCAAAAATTCAGTATTGTGTATGCGTAGAACATCTCTTTCGTATAATATGATAAATAAACCTGTATTTACCTATATTTGTACATTATGTGCATTACATAAAATGTCGACTGCATAAAATCGAGGTGAATATACTGCACATATGATAATACTATTATATTTACCTCTTTCTATATATTATACTCACTGGAACTATAGATTCATCGCTATTACCTATGAAATAAGAATAGAAATGTTAGAAACTCTCACACAACAGGGTAAAATTAATATGCTTTTGATGCTTGCAGCATCGGGTTCATTATATTTTACATAAGTATGTATACTTATTAACTAAAAATAGAGTATATAGAGAACATACCTCTGAACAGGGTAAAAGCGAAAAAATATTCGGCAAGCTTATAATGTTCGTTAGTTCATATAATTACAGATACCTTCTTTATTCAGAGATACTAATTTATTTTACAAGTGTGTCTAATTATTCACAACTTTTTCTTTCAATTTTAGTAAAGCATTTTTATTACGTCAATAATAAACATCGCCCAAGATCTGTAAATATTTTTAGGTACATGTTGGTCAAATCCGAATGTGTTTATTACGCCGTTATATTGCAATCACTTTTCTATGCAAACAAGATTAATGAGATTTTAGTATCATTTTTTCCACATACATATATATTCTATATCCTATGCTAGAGAATAAAACAAGTATTTACGAATTAAATATACATAGTGAGAGAAAATGTATTGAATGCTTCTAAAATGATAGTAGTAATTTAATGCTCTTGCATATAGAAATACAAATTCTGCATTTTAATGAAAATAGTATTTCTTTTTGACTAGATTATCGAAATGTTTCTAAACCAAATACTGAGTTTTCCAATTGATTTTGTATAATTGCGCGTAATAAATGAATAACTCGAATGTATTAAAAATTGAACTTTTATTCTTTTTTTCAGTCTCTGCATTGTTGTACATTGTGGGTTTAACTTATCACAATATAATGTTTTTACGCATAGAACACAATTAATACAGGAAAATTAATTTATCATAGATCTACATATATATACAATTATTGAACTTATACATAAAAATTTACGAATACTCTTGTAAAAAGAATATTAATGGTTTATACATAAAAATTTAAATTCGATAAAATTAGGAGATGTATTACATAACTAACAAAGTATTTGACTAAATATCATTATATCTTTATTAATCTAACTGCATACTTAAATATTTTACGCAGTACGAGCGGTAAGCGAATGAACTTGTTTCAAAATCATGTGAAAGCATCGTCTAAATATATTCTGCCTTTCATATTGATACTTTACAAAGAAATATAATACAATAAAATATAACTTGCATAATTTGATAGACATATAATGAGTTTGTATATTATCTCGAAACTCCTACGCATATAAACTGCATAACCAGGTTTGACTTCTTTTAACAAATTTGATAGAAGTTCCTTACACAGTACACATACAGTATTTATTACATAAATATTTTGTATATATAAGAATGACGAAAAAAAAAGATACAGCTGTGTTCTTAGGCCTAGAGGATGAAGTTGTAAATAAATAACATTTTACTATAAAATTTGCAGAAAAAGGGAGGTTAGAATTACGTTTTAAACCGCTGACATGTACATTAAACAAAAACATGTACAATATAATGCAATAAAGGAAACAGTTTTAAAGCTTCCATTGCACTATTCCCAAAAAATAAATCTTCACCAAATGCGATATCATTTAATTCTATGACAAAGCAATATTATTGCTTGCTTAAGAGAGCTGATATTTGTTATTCATGTGTTAACGATTATTTAGTAATATACTGAAATGTATCATATTGAATTATATATACTCGCACGCGCGAATGCAATTTTTTAAAATATACGTTTCAATATACGTATCAGGGCACTGTATTTATTTAATATATATATAATACTAGTAAGAATATCCTCCTCCTCTCGGATAAACTTTATTCTAGAGAATATATTTTATTTATTTACTATCTACTAGCTGTAAACTATAAATTATGCAATCTTTCGAATTAAATTATGTATATATATATATATATTTTTTTTTTTAGAATAGTGATCTATTCAGTGAAGTGAGGTCTACAATAAATATAAAATATTCGAGGTATAAGCGCAACAGAATAAATTTCCACACACTTTCTTTTTATACATTACTATTTACATAGGGCGTGGAACATGTGCTCGAATTTATGTCATTCTGTGTATATGCTCTTATAATATGCAACTTTAGAAATATAAAATATTTTCTTCTGCAACTTATACACATGCAATTTAAAATAGCTGTCGTCTATTTTGCAAACATTTATGCACAATTACTTTGTGTCATTTCTACCTTGCTAAAAGTCTTAAAGAATATGAAGTCTTTAAAGAATACTTGTTTTCAATGCATTTGAAAATTAAAGGAAATTTAATAAAAAGTAGATTATCTTCACAGCAATAATATGGCAAGCAATGATCTTGTAATTTTACTTTGTAAAATATATGAAAAAAAATAGGAATGTATTTCTTAAAGATTCGTTACTAAGCTTATAATGTCAGATGCGAGGCAATATACTTTATAATTTTCTATGATTCACAATAACTTTATCTACCTAATTGTAAACAAGTTTCGAAACTGTATTTTCACATAGTTTATTGAACTCAAAGTAGTGTTTATATCACATTTTCAAAACTTAATTTTCTGAATCTGTTCACGAAAGAACATATTCACAAACTCGAATAAATATTTTTCTGACATCATAATCTATGATAGCATCATCAAATCTTAGAACACTGTTCAATACTAATATCAGTAATACGTCTTCCTTTATCAAGAGGATTTTTATCTACTTGTACTAAATATGAGGTACCATAAAATCAGTCTCTACATTAGATATCGACAAAGAAATATACAAATTAAATTTTAATACTAAATATCATAGGATTTCTCTTTGTATGAAGAATTCGTCAACCTCATCGACTAGACACAATAAATTATTAATTCATTTAATAATTATACACAAAATAATATTGATAAAACTATGTTTTTTTAATAAAATTCCAAGTTATTTAATTAAAATAACTTTAACAACTAAAAGACTTCATACAAATTATGATTTGGTCCAGATTTTTACGCATCAGAGAAAAGTGCAGTAAAAATAAATTACATAAGGAAGTAAATATCCTTTTATTGCCAAATAGCAATAAACGCGCACAATAAAATGTTTAGCGACTCAATTTCATATACTGTTCTATTATTTCGCTAATGATTAAATTAAGCTAAAAAAAAAAAACACAGGAAAAGCAGTGTACACTAGTTAATATATAGTATACGAAAATTATTATTATTAATTCTGTTTGTGTATATGTGACTTTTTCAAATTGTAAATTGCCGAATATTCAATACTGGTATATTCAAAGTAATAATTTTACTAATTAATATAATCATTAATTATTTCCACCTTATTTAAAATTTTAGGTAAAACGTATTTTCTTTAAATATAATAATCCGTGTAATAAAATTCTTTACTAGTTCATCCCTATTAATCTACTTCTGCAATAACTTTGGAAATATACCTCAGAAATTTAACTTTTACCAGAATAAATGATATTACTACTGAGAATAGTTCCTCTTTCTTTTCAACACATATATCGCATTATTCATAGATTTACTTAATATTTAAATGCAACTATAAAGTAATATATAAATGCAACTATAAAGTAATATACGTGCGTAATATATACGTATATATCTATATACATAAAATACATATTAAAAAAAAATCTGCCAGAAATACTTTTTGATCATATGATACAATCATAAATTAAGCATAACTTAAAAAATATTTCTTTCTTTATAAACTTTTAATCTTATACATTATGTCTGAATAACTGTACGAATTATATTGCGTTAGCGTTGCCACCTAGACGATCGTTCTGACTCGGTATCAGAAAAAGAAAAAAGTTAATAACATTACTTTAAATACGAAGCGTCACTACGGTCTGAATGTTAAGATGTTGAACTATTATATATATTCATATTAAATAAATTAATTTCAGAAATTATAATTGCGTGCCTATATAGTTGTCGGACTTTCAACGCAATCAATCTGAAATGTTAATAATCCCTCCAAATTTCCCAAATTTAATCTTAAAAAACTGTAATAAACTTATTACGAAAAATATTGCCTCGGCCGGGAATCGAACCCGGATCTCTTGCATTCCGTGTGAGTGTCCTAAGCCTTTAGACCACCGAGACCTTAGCAATATTCTTCGCAATAACCGATATGTTATAATTTCTGAAATTATTTCATTATTTAATATGAATATATATAATAGTTCAACATCTTAACATTCAGACCGTAGTGGCGCTTTATATTTAAAGTAATGTTTCTAAACGGTCTTATTTCTAATCTTATTATTGTTTATACACGCTCGTCTAAAATGCGTAACTCTCTAAAAAAGTTAACGTTTATGAAATTACACACGATGGTTTATGAAAATTATCAAAACAAGAAAAATCCAAAAATATTATAAGATAAAAAAATGATTAAATAATAAGAAGCAACAAAATTTTGACAATCACGAAACAGAAAATATATAAATTATATAAATAATATCCCGGGAAAAAATGTTATATACATGGACATATATGTATAATTATATATATGAAACATTTTTTCCCGGGATGTACACGATTACACAATAAATATATAAATTATTATTTTTATTGGCTTCACTTCTATAAATATTTGCAGTTTTAACAAGCTCCATATTTTCAAATTTCTTGATAAATTTATAAAATTCTTAACAGTTCATCGATAAATATAACATCGTAATGTATACATCTTATTCGAAACGCCCTTCTTAGTTTTTTCCCAATGCTGTACATTCAGGGAATTTTTTTCGGTAAAAACTATATAAGATGTTTTACATTTTATGCAACCTCGAGAAGTAACGAAACCCAAACTCGGACATAAATCTTCAAAATCCGGAGTTTTTGGTTCAAACTCAAAAAGGTGGCAACCCTACATCGTTGTTTTAACATTTTGAAAGCTTTTAATGTAATAATTTTCGGTATCATATGTTCAATTTTTATTTCAATCATCGAACTACGACTTAGCGTAAGTAGTTAAAAATTGGCGACTTAGCGTAAGTAGTTAAAAATTGGCGACCTCTTCAGGAGCATAAACGACAATCAATCACGCTGTAATAAACAAATGCACATATGTGATAAACATAATTTATTATATTTAGGCCTTTGTGATCCAATTCTACTATATTAACAATTTATGTCAATGTTCTAATCAAATAAGATCTAAAAAATGACATCGTAAGTAGATCTACAATCAATATCCTTTAAACTTTAAAGAATATTTTAACTTCGTAACTATTATGAAAATTATTTAAATTTGGAATATTTATATTCGAGAAAAATCGGATCACAAGCTGGAATATATTAGAGATCTCATTGCAAAACTCGTTACCTCTATAAAAGATTACCAAGAAAAATTTGATATTTATAAAAATAAATAATAATGAATAACAATTCGATGTGAAGATTAAAATATCTGGTGCCAATTATATCTACAGAATTAAAAAATAATTATTACAGTTTAAAATTTATGTCTTACAAACGCCTCTTTCATAAATTTCTCTTATTATATGTTATTGTATACACGAATTGCTAAAAATGTTTCCGTAATCTACAAGTAAATTTTCATAATTACAGCAGAAACTGATAACTGCAATTTTTGTCTATTTTTAAAATTATAAGATTGAAGTTGCGGAGATAGAGCCAAGTTTTAAAATGAGAGGCTTTATATAATAAAATGTACATTACACTCACCCACTGCATTTTTTCATATTCTTCTACACATAGATATAAGCTCTGAAAATAAAAAAAATGTCAGTAAATATAAATATTACATGATTCAATAATAATAATGTACACTAATGAATAATTATTAAACCAATAAGGCGCTATCTTCTTACACAAGTTTTAATTATAGTATCTTCAAACAGATGATTTAAATACATTACTTATATCAATAATTTCGTGGAAAATAATGTTAACATTATATAAAAGTTACATTTTAAATAATAAGTATATAAGTGATATTTTAAATAATTTCATATATACAATTTAATATTGCTTCCTACATAAAGGACAATTCTTAAAATTTAATTTTCTTTTATTCTTTTTATGTATAAATAAAATTTAATTTGTTTCATGGCAAATATTAGATTAAGGGAATAATGTTCTAAATATTTTACACATATCTATGTTTTATATATAATTAATAATTATGTTATA